CTCCAACTGACAGGAGCAGATATGTTGTAGTGAGCGCTCAGTCCTGGGACAACTAAATGCTGTTTGGCTTGAGCCCTGTTTCAATCGATCACTGCTGTATTGTTTGATTGAAGCTTCTAAAGGAGAGCCCAAACTGATGCAGTTATTTGCAGCCTGATAAGAGTAGTGAGAAGTCAGCAGCAGTGACAGTGTAAAACCGTCAATTAAATATGTTGTCAATAAAATATGTTTTCAAAAAGTGTAAATCACTGCAACCACAAATGATTCTTAAGCATTAAAGTTATAAATGAGCATAAAAAATATTAGACTGATGGGTCCAGTAGTGTGCGAGATTAGCCATGGACAAACAGACAGACACAGTGATGCACACACAGATGCACACAAGCCTGCACGACCGATTACATAATCTCCTGGTGGAGATAATAAAGTGAATCATAGAGCAGATAAGAGGGATTCACTGAGAGGCTGTGTTGAAACTTCAGTAGGTGGCAAGTTTTTATTTCAAAACAGCATGAGCCATTAAGTGATTTTAGAAATATATGTGTCATCAAGTCAACCCATGCATGTATCATAGTTATGTTGTGCTCCAGGGCAGTAAATGTCTTATTGATTGTATTGATTGATAACTTTAAAGCTTGCTTCAAAGCTGTCAGGAAATTCCGCTGTTTGATGAACTTGGTTTTTAGTGTTCATGAATCCCTGCCAAACCCAACTACCATTACCATAATCACCTGCATTATAACGGTGTCTCCACTCTCTTTGTCGTCCCCCCCATGAACTGTATCTGCCACGCTGCTGTAGTCCCAGGAGGCCCTGTTGCTGAAGCAGCTTGCAGAGAAGAGGGAGCACGAGCAGGAGGTGCTCCACAAGGCACGCGAGGAGAACAACATCTTTAGCAAGAAGACGGAGGAGAAGCTCACCCAAAAGATGGAGGTCAACCAGGAGAACCGGGAGGCCCACCTAAATGCTCTCAAACAACGACTGCGTGAGAAAGCAAGTCTTCCCATTTTGTGATCATTTGTGACTGTGGGCATGAAACATATGCCACCGCTGGAGGAGGAACCCCTTGTGGTTGGGAACCTCACTCGGTTATCAAGGGCAGCTTTAGGACCCTGGCCCTAACACCCCCAATTTAGATGCCAATCTGACCCTTATTGCTTCACTAAAACACAACAGCTATTGTCTAAGCTTTATAATCACACCGCAACATCATATATGATACACAAGCAGAGTATCAAAAACAATCTGAGCCAACCAAGTTATCACATACTACTGAACAACGTAATTTTAACTTTAGCTTGTAACAGGAATGTCCTTCAACTGTATGTCTAATTTATTTTCTACTGTCAGCCTATCCCAGGGGAAGAGCTCTCTTACCTTTAGCAGACTACGAAGGCCCCCTCAGAGATGAGCAACACTGGACCTTTTATTGGAATGCACGAAATACATACCAGTTTTATTTGTTTTTTACAAAAAAAAAGCTTACAAAAATGAATAATGTAAAATAAGTGAAAGAAAGGACAAAATGTCAAAACCCCTCAAAAGAGCCCCCGATCCTTTGTTGTCTCCGATACATCTTTTCTTGGCGCTTCCTCGACCTCCGGGTCCATATAAGGTAAACAACAGATCATTCTTAAATCATTGGACAAAACAGTTTTCGTCGTCTTATCTTTTCTGACAGACTTATTCTGTCGGTTAACACTTTCCTGCTTCTGTGTAACCGGATGTCTCCCTAACAATCACTATAGTTAGAGTTTCTGAATTGACAACCTTTTTGCTCTGCTGACCCTGTCAATCATCAGGTCAGAGTGAGTTTAACCCAAAGTTCACTTATTTCATTCGCTTTAACATTCAGTCAACAATAGAAGCACATATGATTTCATCTTGATAAATGATAGAAAACACACATCAAAGCTAATCATCATTGAACTGTCCCTAAACAATATGAGATTACATGTAACGAGTATATTGATATCTGAAAATAAAACACTCTTAGCTCGATAATATAAAATAGATCGTAACTCATCCAAGAGAATGGAAAATTAGATGAGGATACATGTAACGACATGGGCGACTGTGGCTTAGTGGAGAGCAGGATCGTCCTTTATTCAGCGGTTTGATCCCCGGCTCCGCTGATCGCATGTCGATGTGTCTGTGGGCAAGACACTTAAACCAAACTTAGACCAAAATTGCTCCCGTTGTGCCATACTGTGTGTGAATGTTAGTTAGTCCTGATGGTGTAGCCCCTACCATCAGCGTATGAATGGGTGAATGATGACAAGTAGTGTGAAAGCGCTGTACAAGTACAGTCCATTTACCATTTACCATGTATGCATAAAAAGGTCAGTAACGCCTTAAGTTAGGACTTCCTGTTTGGCTACAGGTCACAGGAGCCATGTTTCATATATGTCAGCTAGGCATGAGAACCACAACATGCCTGATTTTCTTCAGTTCACACAGGTTTATTTGCATCACACAGAGTACAAGTAAACCGAGCTGTCTGGAATTAGAAATGTACATTACTTTATACCCTCCCGCTGCTCCCAGTCTTGCCCCCCCCCCCTTCTTTACTTTGTCTTCCTCTTGTATAAACCTAAAAGTACTACGAGCCCCAAGGCCACTGGGCCTACCCGCCCAACTTGGCGCTCTAAAAAACAGGGAGACCGATGATAGCTAATCCCCCCCTTTGATGGTTTGGTTTGTGCTTAATTTGCGCTAGCTGAGTCTGTGCATTCTTTCGTACGATACATCCTCGACTCCCTACTTCCTGTCCTGTTATCCCTGTACATCATTGTGAATCTGTTGACCTCCCAACTGAACTAGACATTTTTATCTGAGTGCAAAAAGTTACGAGGTCGAAGCGACCTGAAAGAGCATAAGGCACTCTGCCTCAGTGATGTGACTATATGACAATGATACAGTCCAATATCAAAGTATGAATGTGAATACACATGACTTTTAAAACACTGAATATCATTTTACACACATACATTTTTCTCCCACAGTTTCCTTTGTACAGTATAAGTGTCAGCCAGATGCTCAAACCTCAGGATGTTGCTGTTACGCTTTAGGGTCTCGCTTCTCGCTCCTCAGGTATAGAGGTGTTAGATAGTATCAACGTTCATCTGCAGTACACAGAAAAACCACAGTTTCGCCTTGTTGCAAGTATTTGTTTAAACCACAATTTCAATAAGTCAATTAATCAATTGGCGTATCAATTATTTTATAGAAAGATAGAGAGACAGGTTTTGTTTCGGGGCGATTGTGGCTAAGTGGATAGCAGGGCCGTCTTTCAATCAGAGGGTCGGCGGTTTGAGCCCTGGCTCCGTTAGTCGCATGTCGATGTGTCCTTGAGCAAGACACTTAACCCCAAAATCGCTCCCGTAGTTGTGCCTACGGTGTAGAAATGTGATAGACTCTGAATTGTAAGTCGCTTTGGATAAAAGCGTCTGCTAAATGACTGTAATGTAATGTAAATGTTTCTGCGGACATTCTTGGTGGATACCTCAACAATATAATGAAACACTCACATATTGAATGTAATTCTGATGTAAGCGTTACATGAGACTGTTTTAGTTTAGGTTAGTGTACATTTTTATATATACATAATAAGTCTTTCATCCAACCCTGCACATCGCTATAGGATGTCAAAATAAAACTACTTCCAGTTTCTACTTCAGTGTCTCCTCCGCTGTCTCTGTTCTCAAGAACAGCAGATTCTATTTCACTTCTCATGAAATGCAACAGGTCTTGTATTTAAAGACAAGGCGCTGAAATAACAAAAGTTCAGGAACCCAGGGGGAGAAATGTATCAATTACATGCCGTGATCACCCTGAATGAATACAATAGATCAGTAAAAACTGTTTTAAGTAATTTTTTAATGAGCACCCAAAATGTGCATGTATATGCAGGTTTTTTAAACAATAACAATCTCCTCTCCATTGCCATTCATGGATGTATATGTTGCCAGTAGATGAGTATGCCTTTCTTTTTTTAGCCATACAATACAGCATATGATATAAGTATTCCTAGTTATGAACTACAGTTAATGACTACTATATGACAACAGAAACAAAGGTGGTGGATGAGAGCAGCTGCTGTATATTGTTTGAGATATATAGTGCAGACCTTAAACTGGTCTTTTTACTCAACCAATATCACCGTAGGAAGGCTCAACATTACATATCTAAGATCCATTGAAAGCACTGTTGAGAGGACCCAGAAGAAGAAACACAGAATTCTCTTTATACACTCCTGCTAAGGCTGTAACAGAAAACACATCTCTGAATGCAAAAAGGATCTGCTTTATACGTAGATTGCAATGGCTGAAAAGTAGGTTGGATTGCATTTCTGGGAAATTTCAACATCTCAACAGTGTTTCTCCACTTTTCTAACTGAAAACAATGCTGTGCCTCTTAAGTTTCATGTTCCACAGAAGCCCCAGCTCAGTCTTTAAGTTTCATTTTGCATCATGTGAATGTGACAGTTTATCACTTTATTTTACAGGAAGTCCACGCCGCTGAGGTGCGCAGGAACAAGGAGCTTCAGGCCGACCTCTCGGGCTGAAGACGCTTTCTGCACTCTGGCAGTGGATGTTACTTTTGAAACTCTTCTGTGTGTCAAAGTGTTCCTAGTTGTTCAGTATTCACCGATATCATCCTACAGTGCACCTTTCAGGACTCAAACTACTTGTTAATCAGCACCAAATAATGTTACTCATCTGTTTAATTTTTTGGTAAACCACACATATTTGGAAGTCAGGTACATATTCTGATATAGCCAAGTAGCTGCAGCTGAAATAAAGTCCACTCCTGAGCTGAATGAGATCTGTGTTGGGTTTATCTATATCTATACAAATATGGCTGACTAATGATGACTAGTCTAATAAATCTGATTAGTTTACTGTGAGTATGTCATGACTCCTGAGCCTTTTTAGGGCCCTTGGTGTGATTTTGTTTCAGGATCACCCTCAACACCTGAAGTGACTTTGTGACGTTTAGCCCAATGAAGACCTGCAGCCATGGAGCAGCTTAAAACTCTAAATCAACATTTTATGTTGTCACAATGACAAAAAACTTGGAAGCCGAGGCCCACTCATTGTGAGTCACCGGAGTCTTCTGCACGCCGCTAGCTTGACGGCTGAGAGTATTAACAGTAGCCATGTTTGTTGTTTACGTTCTTTATGATCATTTCGGGGGAGTGGCTTCGGAGGGAGGCTTAAAGAGAAGGGCTGTCAGTGTTGCCAACTCAGCCACTTTCTCGCTAGATTTAGAGATTTTTGGAGCTAGCCCTGCTAGCTACTTTCGTTGAAAAAGAAGTTGGCAACGCTGGGTTTTTCTCTTGGACCGTTTAAAAAAATCTAGCGTACTCTTGCTAGTTTCATGAACCCTAGCTCTGACAGAATATATATTATTACTACTACTTTTTTTCACTTGTCTTAAAGGGGCGTTCTAACCCTGATGAATTTATCTGCTCCACCCTGCGGTTAACAACATGCTAATGTTAATGTGCTAACATGCCTACAACTACTGGATGCTAACATGCTGATGTTCAGCAAACAGTGAGCATGCTAACATCTCTGTTAGCATGTTGAATAATGGAATGTGATATTTAGCATTCAGTTAGCACGATAACACGCAGACATTTAGCATTAAATTTATGATTATCAGTCATCAAGACTCACTGTTTGGAAACATGGATGTCTGAACCCAATTTCAGTATTTAATTTACTGAATACATTTACTATTTATTTATTGTTTCCATCTGATTTAACTGTCTTCTTAAACATCCTAAACATCAAATGTATATATAAAAAGAAAATAGACATCGGTATCAAGGGGGTTAACCATGCCGTTCTCAGTAATAGCAGCAAACAGAGACATAGAACCAAATGCCTAGAAAAGGCTGTCACATGTCAAAAAGTCAACGAACACAACAGTGATGGGTCTGTTTTGCAGAAAAAGGGACCAAAACTACACTAGCAGAATAATAGCAGAATTTACTGAAACAAGTCAAAATGATTAGGCCCTTTTCACAGCTGACATTTTGACTTGTCTTAGTAGGAAAAGCACAGACTGAATTAAACAGAGGCTTAAAGAGTAATTAAATGTATTTATTTGACATAGTTTACAATAGGAAAGTTGAAGAAAAAGAATATTATTTTAAGGAGGTAGTGATGAGCTGTACAGGAATATTGCCTGATGGAGTAGACAGTGGTAGTGATGGGGAAGGGGTGAAGGGCAAAGCTGAAGATCTGGATGGATATGATGTGGTGCGGGACTTCAGTTGTGTTGGAGACGGGAGGTGAATGAGGTAGATGAGAGCTGCATCAGTCTGACACTGAACTGGAAGCTGACAGCAGCAGGGAGAAACAGTTTGAGGAGAAATCTGATTGGTTTAACTGAAAGAGTGAACACCAGTCAGCTGACTGAGTTGGAGGCAGGGAGAGGAAGTGAGAGAATAAATAAATAGAGTCGGCATGAAGACAATGCTTACAGAGTGCACTATTCAAACCAAAGATCTGCAGTCATTTTGACAAGTTTCCAGTAAAATTGAATTGAAGAATTATGCCAGAGTTACGCAAATTACTGTGCTAATATCAAGAAAGTGAAACAAACTGAAACAGGTGGATTTGTATTGAAAACAGGTGTAATCTTGACACTTTTCTCAAAAAAATAAGATAACATGGATAACAAAAAATGACTCAACAGCCTAATAAATGACTCCTTTACAGAAACATCATGAAGGTTTTACATGAAGGGAAGCCTCGGAACTCGGAAGTCACTGCATGTAGCTTCACAAAAAAATGAGGAAGAGGAAATCGTGTGCAAGAGAGCGCATGCGTATCACATTTGACCTCATAGTTGCACAATTGTATGGAAAACGAAACTTAAATTGTGTTGTCGCGAAAGAGAGAGGAAAGGCTCCCATGCTCGGTTCAGGGAGGGGCCGACTGCACTCCGAACCTCTCAGCAGTGATCCAGACGATGCTGCCGCTGCTCTTCATCATCTCTCACAGCTACCGTTAACATGGAGGACATCTGTGATATTAAAATCTTCATGAAGATCAGCCTAATTGACGGTAATTATTAATACTAATATTGTTGTTGTTGTTGTTATCAAGTCCTTATCAGTACGCTAGTATTATTTCTATTGTTATTATTATTATTACTATTATTATTAGTAGTAGTAGTAGTGGTAGTAGTAGGAGTAGTACGACTACCAGTAGCAATATTGTCAAAATAGTAAACTTGACTGACAGTTACGGACATGGGTTTCGAATTTCATTTTTGCATCAGCCAACGATAAATAGTGAATTTTGAACGTCTTGATTGTTGAATTTTAGAATATGTGTTTTACTATAAAAAAAATAAATAATTTAAAAACAATTCTGCATATTTCGAAACCCACTTTGAACTCACTAACTCCCTGGTAATTCGAGCCGTTTGAGCCGCTGACTTCATTTTGTGAGTCGGTGTTGCTGCCTTTGCTTACGGTTAAATGGGGAAATGTGCAACTGCGCCATCTAGTGGACACAATATGCAAGCTGCGCGTAATTGCCACAGCGGACAGTGGGAAATAAAAAAACAATACTTTGCCTTGTTTAATAACACTCGGTCGGTTGGATGATATGAAGCATTCATTGTACCAGACAGAGTTGTACTAAGCGTTGTGGCGTAGCACAAGAAACAAAAGAGGAAGATACTTGTGTGTAAGTGCGCGCACTAACGGACACCTGAGCGGAGGTGAAAGAGGACAGGAAGCGGAGCGACAGATGTGGTTGGAGGTGAGCACCAAGCCATTTTATTACTCAAACAACACTCGCACAACTATACTGTCGGCAGCTTGTCGCGGGTTGCATTGGAGTTGATTGTTGTTTTAGAGTGTATCCAGGGAGGGAAAACACAAAGAACCTGGCTCGCAACCTCCATATCTCTATTACGTTAGCTAACTTAGCTGTTGTCCTGAGGTCTCCGTCTCACTCTAGGACTGCGGTCAAGTCAGACACTCGGATGTCCGTGATCAAGCCCCACTGACATGTTAACAGTAGCTGGCTCACACTGTGGCAGCTAGCTGAGGCACCTCCCGTTGCAAGCTCAGCTGCTCAGACAGTCGCCACTGTGTGGGAGAGGTGCTGCTGCAGTTTCCGGTTTTAAGCCTTTATTTTTTCGTAATTTGACAATATGTGACAATACATTAATGTCCTTTTAAGAGTATTGCGATTTTTGTGCCAGACTCCGCAAACTGAAACAGATAAACAAACACAAAGTGGTGCAAAATGATTTGTCAATAACATGAATGACTTCCCTGAGAGCACGTTTGAACCACTTTTGAACGTCTTTTAACCATCACCGTATTTATTTTTAAATTCTTGTGAACTTAAAAATGCTCACAGCAAAATATGTAGCAATTTAAATTCATATAGTCATAGTAACATATCAACAGTTTCCACTTAAAGGACAGAGAAGACCAGGTGACACAGGCAACAATTCATTTGTATTTATTAAGCAACAATTATAACACAAATATAACATGTACAATGTTCTTTAGATACTACTGCAAAGAAATAGAAAGTGCATGATTGTTGACGGTGCAAACAATAGGCAAGGCAAGTTTATTTGTGTAGCACATTTCAACAACAAGGTAATTCAAAGTGCTTCACATAAAACCATAAAACCATTAAAAGCATCAAAACATAAGGAAAAAGAAAAAGATTTAAAAACAATTAAGAACATTCATTGAAACAATAAAAACAGTCATTAAAACATTAAAATAACATTCTTTCATTCTTTAGATGTTCTTGTCAAAAACCACGCAGAAGCCGGTTTCAGATGGTCTGCCATATTTAAGGTGGACATCTGTAAATATAACAAGTTTTAAAAAGAAATATCCACTTTTGAACCAATTTTGAACGCTTTTCCCCGGTGACCATAGTCATTTTTTAATTGTCTTTATGGGATATAGTATTATACTGTACACTGTTTGTATGTTTTGACCCTCTTCTTGTTTGTACATCACTGTTTTACTCACTTCCTCCACATTCCAACTGTATACAGCCACACTCGCTTTCTGTCGTGTATTTTAGAGGTGAAATGGCCTAAAAACTCACTTCTACAGCGACAGCCCATAAAGACAGTCTCCAACATTAACTTACACACATGTTTATGTTTACTGTTGGTCCACGCTGCAGTACTCTACAAGCTAACATAATAACTCTACACGCTAGCATAAAATTATGCTAATGTTGTTTACTGCGTTTTTTATTATTGGAATCCAGTAGTTCAAGAACTTAAAACATATGCGGTTAGCATGAAGCCTCACTTTTATTTGGTCAGCTCGTTCACTTTGCTCCGCCAAAAAAAGCCAAAGTTCTTACGTGAATTTTTACATGAATGTACAGACAGACATTACGGCGTCCTGGGAGCTTCTTGTTGGCAGCACAGTCTATATTTCCATATTCATGACATTTTATATAAAACATTAAATGCATTCAAATCATGTCTTCATGTAGACCACATTTCAGTGACCAGTGTAATATGACTTTGAAGAAATACGATCAAAGTAACAAATATCATCTCTCTTTCAACCTACAACTGAACAAATCATCAACATTCTCTAACATATTGGTGTTTTGTGACACGTTGATGTTGTAACTGCATTTCAGCCGGTTGAAAAGACGGTGACAACAGGTCTTAGATGTTGAGACAGAATATCACCCAGTTTTTAACTCAAAATCAACGTTGAAATCCTGGTTGGTGCTCACTTGGTTTCTGAAATAAATGTATTGAGCACATTTCTCATCATGCTTTCTTCTCTACCGTTTTCTTTTTCAGACTCATGGAAGCAAAGCTGGACATTTATCAGACTCTGGCCTTCAGATAAGGCACAGACAAGTTGATCCAGCTTCATTCTGTCAGAGGTCCCTTCATTATTACTGCCTTGGTTAATCAGGCTTGTAACTGAATCTGGTCTATTGTGACGAGCTGCAACCAAAATACTACAATCTGCAGTTTAGAATCCAGGTGCTGACTTCAGTATTCTGATTCTGAAGTATCACAATGTCAGCTAGTGAATCCAAACTGGCTACTCTTTCATCGACACATGACCTCAAACTTGCATGCACTCAGTGCTCTGTCAAGGAGAAAGAAGTTACGTATACGTTGAAATCGGTCCCCCACCGGTGTGCACGCGATCTCTTGTTCTGCAGAGCCAAAGGTGGCAGCAAATGGAGGCCAGTCTCTAGGCGGCCCACATTTCCCAATCCGAATCATTATGAGAAATGCCACTTCTTCGCAGAGGGCTCTGGATGCACGTACCACAAGAACCGGTGCACCTTCGCCAGAAGTGACGAGGAAGCTGCCGTTTGGACGTTTGAAAAGCACCAAAGGTTAGACCACATGCTCCTCTGTAATCTCATAGCTCAGTCTGAGGGAGGAGCTGATCAGCCCGATAATGCCAAACCACTGGGTAACCTCTTAGCAATTCTGGATTTGAAGGTTGTCTGTGAACAGTGTTCTGTGAAAGAGAAGGAAATAACATACTCAGTTCAGTCAGTTAGTCACAAGTGCAATAGAAATCTGCTTTTAGCCAAAGACAAAGCCTCCAGTCAGTGGAGGCCTGTCTCTGAGCGGCCTACATGTGGACAGTTTGGTCGGAATGTTTTTTACGAAGTGTGTAATTTCTACGTCGAGGGCTCTGGATGTACTAAACACGGTCAGGGATGCACTTATGCCAGGAGCTATGAAGAGGCCATGCTATGGAACTACGTTAGAGTCACAGACATCGATCAAGAAGAGTTAATCAGACTTGTAATTGAGTTTGAAGTTATTAAGATGACACCAGAAAGTGCAGCTGAAAGCATACGCCAGCAGTTTTCAGGCGAATTTGTGGAATTCTGCAAGGACTGCTTTCATGATCGCCCACAAAAACTGACGACCAAAAGGTGGAATTCCACTTGCTCAGCAGATGCAGCGCACACCTGGGACCCAGTCTTAGTTCATCACCTGTCAGAGAACAGCAGAAAGCACATCTACAGCCAGGTGCGCCCTCTTCACCAGAACTGTCAGTTTACGTACTGCAGCCACGTCAGGCAAGGCAAGCCCTGCTGGCACGAGGCCGGCCACTGCCGCTCTGCCCAGAGCGAGGTGGAGATGGCCGTGTGGAAAGCGGAGCACAGTGGGCTCTCCGTGCGGCCTCGCCTCCTCCAGATGAGCCAGCAGGAGCAGACGGAGCACAGGAAGAAGGTCACCATGTACTGCAAAGTTTGCCTCCTGGTCCTTTCCTCTCCGGAGAGCTTCTACAAGCACTGCAGCTCTTTGGAGCATGCCCAGTTACTCTCTGAGGACACCACCACCAGGTGGAGAGGACGACAGCCCCCACACAACCACCGATCTGACCTCTGGCTGTGTGAGAGGTAGACAACTTGCTTTACATGTTTGACAACCACATTCTCGATTCTTGTGAAATGTTTAATTACTTAACTCATTTGTTTTTACCAAAAATGCCATACTGATATCTGTTTTATCCTGCTCGAAGGACAAGGCTGGTGATACAAACCAACATTGCTTTATTCTCTCATAGCTTCCCCAGCCTGTCTGTGCTGTAAGCCCATTCATTCCCACTGAAGACATAACTCTGAATCTATACAGATATGGTTTTCACAAACAGATCCAAGACAAGAGGGAGAAGTGCAATTTTTGGGGACTATTTTCAGCGACGGATTAATCTACATTTAGTGCGCTAGTGCAGTCATTTACAAAGACTGGGTCAGGACCCACTAGTGGGTCGCAGGAGATCTTAATAGGATCGCCAAATAAAGTAGCAGAATATCTTCCCTGGTCATTTATCTAACATTTATATCTGCAGTACACATTTGAGCCACACGAGGGAGCTGCATTTTCATAAAGTTCTGATAACTGTAGTCTACTTATAATGTTTGTAGTGGTTGATTTTCGATGTCGATGATGATGATCAGCTTCTTTGACTTTATGACTGATGTTAAAACATTAGACCTTACGGCTGGCTCAGTAACTTCTCTATCTGACTCGTGGTGAGACACCACAGGATCTCACTATTAGGAACTCAGGAACGAACACCCACAGAACACAAGAGAGATTGGATTTTATTTCCATCACAAAGTATACAAGTAAACCGAGTCAACTAACCTCACAATAGAAATGTACATCACTTTATACCCTCATTCTGCCCTAAATCTTGGTCTCCCACGTTTCCTGCTTTTGCTTTTTTTTCAAACTTTTACCCAAACAAGTTACACTGTGTACCTCGGAGATGTCATAACAGAGGATACTGGATTTAGATATTTGAGTAGTCACAGTCTTCTTCCCCACCCGTCTTCCTCTGATGACGCATCTGGCTGCAGGTCAAAATGACCAGCGCTCGTCATCCCCTGTGAAAACCTGTATTTACTTGTACATTTACCTCACCCTCCCACTATCTTCACCTGGGCTCCAAGCCACTATTCTTACTCCCCTCCTCGATGGGTCTGAACCCGAGAGAGCGTTGACAAGCAACCAAATGAGTTTGGTTTCTCTATATCTACATTTAGCTGAGTTGCGCAAATTTTTGTACAATGAAACCTAGACTCCCTAATCCTGATCCCTTGGCCGGTCTTTCACCCTCTCACAGAGCATCCTGGTACCCCTGTACACCCTCACAAAGTCTTACAGGATGAACTTTTCAACCTGCGTGTCAAAATACGGTTACGAAGTTGAGGCGGTCAAAAGAGCACAAACACCCTGCCTCAGTGATGTGAATCACATATGACAATGATACAGGCCCATATCACAGTATGAATGTGAATATACATGAATACATTTCAAACTGTGGATATGATTTTACACAAATATATTTCAAGACACAACTACATTTTTGTCCCACATGTTGAATCTAATATGAAAGGCTAGAGCACATTCTGTTAGTTTAGCTGATGAGAGGAAATGAAAAGAATTAGATAGTCTGTTAACTCAAATTCATTTGATTCATTTGGTCTCATTTATAAAGTATTTAACATGTGTATATGTTTAACACATGCATTCAACTAAATTGTTGTACATCAAACGTATATCTCTTTAAAATGACTGCTTTACCTGTAGATAATATAAGGTGATGCAGAAATGGCAGTAAAAATGTTCTTTTTTAAAAGTGGGTCCCAAAACAATCAAAGTTTGGGATACACTGCTCTAGTGAGTATCTGTGGCAGCAGGACAGTGTGTGTGGGATTGAGTCTAAATACACAGTGTGTGTGTTCATGGTAATGAAAGAACATGTCACCCAGCGTGGCTCACTGATGGAGCTCTATCGAGATAAGAAGGGAAACTTCCTCAATCGCCAACAGGAAAAATCAACTCATACAGACAACACGGCTGAAGAGGTAGAAGATACGTATATCAGGCTTTGATACAATCACAACACTTGTTTGTGTACATTCATCGCTGGTTTGTGTCTTTTCCTGGGATTTGTTTACAATAAGAAAAAGATAAAACATCGATAGACGTATTCTTTAAAGAGCAAAGTTGTGTCTCGGCTGCACTTGAGTCGCTAATTCTAACCAAATCCAAACTAATAGAGTAATGTGGTGAGGTAAGGGAGATTTAAAATGCATAAATGAACACAGATCAAATGTAAATACAACACTCATTGTTAAATGTGTTTGACATAAGTAAATGAAAAACATGTGGAAAGGATGATGATTTAGCTTTTTGTCTTTAATAAATGATTGATGAGCTCCCTCTCACCTCCTCATGGGGACAGTACTTTGACTTTAGTATCAGCAGGTCTGTGCTGCCTTCTGCTGGACAATACTGACACATCTTCACAGTTTGTTCTGTGTTTGTAAATTTATTTTAATATGGCTTTTTACATTTATCTTTTATTCAGTTATTAAAGACAAAATGACCAATAATTGTCCTTTTAAACATCTGTTTTTTTTCATTTAATTATGAAAAGGACAAGGAAATCCATGTAACAATAGATTTTTTCATTTTCTTTGTTTGAAACCTTTTTTACACAGAAGGGGAGCTAAATGGTAATAAATCTTCTGAGAAACATTAAGATGTCTTTTTATTTCATGTTTTTTGACCGTTCCAAAGTGGTACTTTGATTGACAGATCCTTATTGTATTGTTTTGTGATAATTCTCCTTTCATCGTAGACCACAAACGTGTGAATACAGCAACAAGTGCCCAAGAGCTCATTCTGTGGAAGAGCTGCAGGAGTGGGTGATGCGTGCTGCAGAGGAGAAGGAGATCAGACACAACATGGGAGCCCAGGGTCTCATGTGCTACAATGAAAGCCTCCTAGAGGAATACAAAAACAGCAGTAACGAAGTACACATTGTGAGTATGAGGCTTTTTTTCGGTTATCTTTGGCAAACACAGTTTATCCCGAGGTCATAGCAAACTTTGTCAGGCCTGAAGAGACACGCACAAACAAGACAATGCTGTAAAACATTTACACATCAGAAATAAAATGGGGATGTAACAAAAGCAGGAGAAAAAAGTACACAGGTGACACAGTACGCAGTCTGTTGCTGATGCTTTTGGGATTTTTCTTAATTTCATAAACTACAGTAGAGATAAAGATGCCTGACTGAACTAGGACCTAAAGCATTGTGGGTAAATATTAGCCTACCAGAGAGCCTAATCTCTAGGTATAGTTCAGAGTTCATAATATATGAGCCCTGTATGATACTTTGATATAGTCTCTAATTATTTGAATTAGTTTAGCTATTGATGCAGTTTATGTGAATAACTTGAGTATAAAGTTACAGATACAGATTCATATAGACATAGATGAAGGGACTTCTGCTTCCCAGAGACTTGCAACACTTTCAGTCTCTAATCATCACATTAAGAAAAAGGACAACATTTCAAGCCCAAATTGTCTCAGGCCCAAAGATATCAAAAGCTAGAAATCATTCAGGCGCAACAATTAATGAAGCAAGTTTGTGACTTCTAACGAAGTTGGTTAGTTGTTGTTTTTTACATCGCTAACTGACAGTTTACTCTTCAGTTCTTCACCGCCGTAAATCACAGAATGTTTATTCACTATTTCAACAGATATCAGAACAAGTTGACGATGTCAGCATCTCTTGTGATAAAGATTTAACTGTGGAGTGTGAACAGATCAACACAACACTGCAGTGGAACTTCCAAGTTGAAACAGAGGTAAGATGTTTCAGAGGTAAGAAGACAAGGCGTGGTTAGATTGTCTGTGACAAAAGCCAAAGTGCATAATGATGCCAGAAGTCATAAAAAACCCAGATAATATATATGAGCATATATAATCAGTCCAAACCTTAAATAATAGACTCTTAGAGAATATTACATCTTAGTTTTTTATCACAGAGCTATGACAGAGTAATAATTGAAATAGGAAGAGTAATAAAATCTGAGTAATAAAGTGAAATGACATTTATGTTTTGTTGGTCCTCAGTTGTCTCTGTGTTTCGAGCTGAGGTGGGAAAGTTCCCAATCTGGAAACACTGATTGAACTGCGTGTTTTTTCCTTGTAAAAAGGTCCTCCTGCATTCACAGGCTGAATCTGTAGGCATTTCGACAGGATGTTTGGCAATGGAAGCGTTTCCATTTGTAGTTCGTGTAGTATTGACCAATCACGGTCGCGCTGCGCCTAAAGTACAACCTAATTGAATTGTGGGACTCGCCGAGGGGTGTGATTTAAACAGCCGTCTATGCAGATTACGCATTACTAAACCACAGAAATAGACTTAAAGCATTAAAAGAAAATCCCTTCTCACGGTCTTAGTGTGGACTGATACATTAATCAAATGAAAGCGCATCAGTTCCAGAGACGTGCGAAGTGAAGGATGTCAAAAACGCTTCTGAAAAGACTTTCATTGGGGATTGGCCGTAACATGGGTCAGCTAGGTAGCAGGTCAACAGAGAATACAGTCAGGTAGAACTTTTTGGACTGAGGCAGAAATATATATATATATATAACAAGTGATGTATTTACAAAAATAAGAAGTTAGTTGCTGTGTATTAGCCTAGCCACTCTGTTACTCTTCTCGGTGTCAGTGCAGCGATCACACAATCTTCATCGTCAAATGTCTTTTTTCGTTCATGTCCTGGAAATGTTTTGTTCTGCTTATTTGCCACTTTTCTGTGTGTACAGAGACAACTTGTGCACGTGGCGCTGCTGAAGCAGGAACCGGGAGCCTCATTCACCCTTGGTGACCTCGGTTCTGTGGCCTGCATCCACTCCTCAGGTAAAGACTTTCTCAGTGAAGACATGACCTACGACATCACCGTGTCCTTCACATCCATCAACCCTGGCCTGTATGACCAGTGGCTGGTGCTAGATTTTGACATGAGGCCAGTGCTGTTGAAGAAACTCAGAGTAAGAGTAGGCCAGCCGTCACTGGATGACGTTGAGCAACCAACTTTGGATCGCAGAGCCACCCATCAAAGTGCCGAGCGTTGGCATCGAGGGAACAGGGTTATCATCCCGTGTACGACCAGGACAGAAGAACAGGAGGAGCTGTTAAAGGAGTACAAGCCTCCACAGATTAGCTTCCAGTATAAATCCTCCCACAACAGCCAAACACCTCTGAATAATGAGAACTACAAAGACAGAATGCACCACTTCCTGTACAATGAGGAGCGGGCAGAGGACCAGATTGTTTCAAGGTAATATGCTTATCTTTAGCGGTTTCCTTTTAAGATGTTTAGAATTTGCACATACGTACAGACTCTAAGGCTGTCTTTTCTTTTTTACTTTAGACTAAATGTTTGTGGAGAAATTACAACAATGGACACGCTGAACAGTACAAAGTTTGACATGGCGAGGGCTCCTCTGGGAGAACTGTTCTGTGCTGTCTCAATTCCTTATAATCTCACACCAGACACCCCTGAGGGACTGGCACTAAAACGGAGCATCCAGTCTGGCCTGATAGCCCCCTTACATGGTGGTTCAAACTCCAAGGTCTACGAAGCCATCATCCGGCAAGACAAAACCAGCGAGAACAAAATGTATTTGCAGCTGTCTAAAAACTGTTGCTCGGATCTCGCACTCAAAAGCAATGAATCGTATCAAATGGAGGTGCAGTTTCAGCTCAATCGCCACAGCTTCTGTGCCATGCACAAAACCGTAGACCTCCTTCCTGATACAAAAAGAGTGCTACCAGATCTCAAAAACTGTGCAGTTCCTGTGAATAACATCCACTATGAGAAGCTGAATGCAAAGCAGCAGTCAGCAATTGACTTCATCACAGGTCATTCCAATGGCCAAAAATGTGTGGCACCACTCCTCATCTATGGACCGTTTGGAACTGGGAAAACATTCACCCTCGCTACAGCAGCCAGAGAGCTTTGTAAGCAGCCTCACAACAAAGTGCTCATTTGCACCCACACCAACAGGTAATATATATTATTGAAAACGTGATGAATGAAATATTGATGATTGAGTCATATGGACATGTGGTCCCCAAGTATTTTTTAAACTTTGCTACTTTCAAAGTATTAATGTAGGCTATGCTCTTTGATGTAAGCCTGGGGTGGCCAAACTAAGGACCATGGGCCAACTGCGGCTCCCTCTGCCCATTTTTAAGTTTAAAAAAAAACTAGAACATAGCTTGATCCTATTTCATATAAATTACACTCTATGTACATTGCACATCAAAGTTGAAATGCTAGATATTGCCTAAATTCAGCGAAATTATCTTTTAACCTCTTGGCGCAGAAACCAAAATTTAGTGTTCAACATTTTTTGTTTCCTTTCAGTTCTGCAGATCTGTACATCAGAGATCACTTGCACCCATTCATCGACCAGAAAAATGATGAGATGAGGCTAATTCGAATAAAAGCAAACAGTAAAAGTGCTTTGTCTGCCACAGATAAGATTACTCAGAAATACTGTTTGCTTTCGGAAGATGGACAGTTTTTTCTACCACCTACAAAAGCTGCCCTAGATTGCCACAAAATAGTCATAACCACCACGACAATGGCGAGACATTTTCATGACCTAAAGCTCCCAGAGGGATATTTCACCCACATACTGATTGATGAAGCCTCTCAGATGCTGGAATGTGAAGCCTTGATGGCCCTTGGCCTTGCTGGACCAAACACCAGAGTTGTTTTGGCTGGGGATCACATGCAAATGGGACCCAAGCTTTTCTCAGTTGATGATCATCACCGTTCAAATCACACACTCCTCAATCGCTTGTTCCACTACTATCAAGGCCAAAAGTGTGACGCGGCCCAGAACAGTAGAATCATTTTCAGTGAAAACTACCGCTCAACCAAGGAAATTGTGGAGTTTGTGTCCACCCATTTCTACGTTGGTAAGAATGATTTTATCAAAGCCACTAGAGATGTTCCGGCTCCTGAAAATGGCCGTGCCCTAAAGTTTCACCATGTCCGGGGAGAGTGTCTGTTGGACACTGGGTCCATGTCTTGGTACAACAAAGACGAGGTTGGCAAAGTGGTTGAAGAAGTAAATGAGATTCTCAAACACTGGCCACAGACCTGGGGGACCAAGGACCACAGCTCAATCTGCATCCTATCAGAGGGATTTCAGGTAAATAAAAACTTTTTAGTCACAAGACGGAAACAAAATTAGATCAATGATATAGTGAAGATTTCTGCATGTATATGAATTGTTGCGTTATATATGGTCAGAGTTCTAATGGTTCAATTATCTCAATTGTGTCTTCCTATTATTAGGTTCGGCAAATTAGGACAGCACTTTCAAGAAGAGGCCTTGCTGAAGTCCATGTTGAAAATCTTGCAAATGTGCAAGGTAGTTTTAATTTAACTTAAAGAACTCCTGGATGATTATGCTATTATGCTGCTCATGAAGGATGGCTAAACAGCACCTGTGTGACTATTTCAAAAGGCTTTTTTGTATTTTAAATAAGAATTTGTTCTTAAGGACTTGCCTGGTTAAATAATGGTTAAATAAAAAATAAATAAATAAATAAATATATTCATATGATCTTTTACCTAATTGAATTACCTAATGCGAATTGTCTTCATGTGTTGACAGGCAAACAGTTCAGGGCAGTCATCATGACAGCTGTGCAAACGCGTGACAGCCTAAAAACATCTCACCTGCCTGGTCTGGAGCTGTTCAATGATGCCCGTGTGTTAAACACTGCAATGACTAGGGCTCAGTCCCACATAGTTGTGGTGGGAGATGCTGCTGCCCTCTGTTGCTTTGGGAAATGCTCAGGGGTCTGGAAAAGCTACATAGACCACTGCGTCAGCAACAACAGTGTTGCACCGCAGCATTTCACTCAAGATTTCTTTGAAAGAGATGTCATGGAAACTGCAAGGTTTCAAAAGTCTGAACATGTGGATGAGAGCAACACTCTCAATGATGCAATTCTTCAAGAGTTGAAAGATGAATACAAACAGCTGAAAACAGATAATAGTTCAGAAGAAGACAGATTGCATTTTAAAGACTTGGACAACCACAAGTCAAGATCATCATACAATGTCAATGACGTCGATACACACCTTTTGGAGTTGTGTGAAAAACAACCAGAGGTGTACATGCATGGAAGGTTGGTCAGGGAGACATCAACCAGAGGTTATGTCGTACCATTTCAAAACCCCACCAAACGTATCAGCATCAAGGGAAGGGAAAACCTGGGTAAGGTCTTCAGTGGGGACGAAGTGGTCGCACAAACAGCAACAGTGGTCAGCATCACTAAGGAAGCTGAATCGGCCCGTGTACTTGTGTGCCAGCTTGAGGATGAGGATCACAGCAAATCGAGACAGAATTCGGATGACAAATTTGTCAAAAGGACAATGATGCCCATTACAAAATCTGCACCCAAAGTACGCATACTGATCAGCAAGAAAAGACGTAACTTCCTTCCAATATGGGAGCAGATAGATGGACAGTGGACACCCATATCATATGAACGTCTTGACGAAAACCTCATACAAAACAATGTATTTATGGTGCAAGTGATTGGCTGGAAAGAAAATTGTCATATTCCATTGGGGAACGTCATAGATATTCTTCCAATCGGAAGTTCTTTTCCTGCTTGTCTACAGATCCTGAATGAAGAATTCAAAGTTGCACCCAATACATGTACATCGGATGAGGTACTCTCCTCCAGAGATGAAGACAGGACACACAGACTGGACATAAGTGACGTGTTTACTTTCACTGTTGATCCGGAAAATGCAAGAGACTTGGATGATGCCATCAGTGTCAGGGAAATTGGAGACCATGAGTATGAGTTGGGAGTCCATATTGCAGATGTGGCAAGCTTTGTGAGTCCAAGTGGTGAATTGGATGAGGTTGCAAAAGAACGTGGCGCTACGTATTACTGCAGTACGGAAAATCCTGTGCATATGTTCCCCAAAGACTGCACTGAACACTTCAGTCTTCTGCCAGATAAAGGTCGCCGGGTGATTTCATTAATTTTCAAAGTAAAAAAGACAACAAATGAGATCATTGGAAAGCCCAACTTCCAGCTGTCACAGATCAAGTCTAATCAGAAGTTGTCTTATGAAAAGGCAGAGGGCATGATCACCGAACGATATAGAGACAGACCTAGATTTGACTCTGTAGAAGACTGTGTCACGGTGGCTTATTGTTTCGCAAAAGCCCAAAGGAAGATTAGACTTAGGGATTGGGCTTACTCTCAAACTGATGATGATAGATTGCCCGGAAAGCGCAAAGCCAATCTGATGATTGAAGAGCTGAGTGTGTTGTTCAATACACATACGTCCAAGGATTTGATTGGTTTAGAGAAAACCATGAACTGCACACCCCTTCGTTGTCAAGCAGAACCAGATCCTGAAAGGATCGAAGAATTCAAGAAGAAATGCGGAGGACTAATATCACTGTCTTTTCATGTGCAGAAGAAAGTCCACGACGAACAAGCCCCAAACTGTGAAAACTTCTGCATACTCACAGAAGTGTGGGAAGATATCCAGGCAGCTGCCAGATCAGATGATATAGACAGTATGGTGGACCTGATTGCTGCAGATGACATCCACCCTCTGCTCCAGCCAGTCATTGATCAGTTTAGGAGGTGCCTTAGTAAAGCTGAAGTCCTCTGTTCCAACTCTAGCAAAGCACAGGTCGGGCATTATTCTCTGAACGTAAGATCCTACACCCAAGCATCCTCACCAATACGGCGGTACATGGACATCATCTTGCAGAGACTTTTGCATTCCATCATATGCAACAGGGCTGTCCAATACACTACCTTGGAGATTGAGACTTTGTGCAGTCAATTTGAGGAAAACCTTAAAGTTGTCAAGGCGTATGAACAAAAAGCTGAGCAAATCCATTATGCAGTGAGCATGAAAAAACAAAGTGCTTCAAAGCTAGCCTTTTTTGTTAGGCCCCAGAGAGACTGCTTCGCAGTAGCATTTCCTTTTAACAAGAATGTTTTTGCAGAGAGTGTATCAATTATGTACAAAGATTTACAACTGTGCGACCAACCAGTTGTTGATGACACAAACGACTGCGTCACTCTCACATGGAAAAGGCGGATCTACGCAGTTGACAACATGCAAATCCACCAAGAGCTGAAAAAGCCAGGCTGTGATCCCTGCGTTGAGCTTCCATTGGCAGAATGGAAGGCCATTGTCGAAGCGGTTGACACAAAAAACTGGGATCATGCAAAGTCTCTCACAATGGAGGCTAATACAAAGCGCCTGGAAAAAGTAAATATTCTGCCACAATCAGCTGTGGTGCCTCATTCCAAGACTGACTCATGTACCATTGAGAAGCAAGAGGAACAGAAGGAGCATGAGGTTGTCATTGCGCTCCAGTTGCAGAGAGGTGACACCCTTCAGATCCAAATGACGACAGAGATAAAAAGAGGTTATCACATGCCTGCTGTTCAGTTGGTGCGCATTAAACCAAAGTTTGAGATTTGTGTGCACCATGTCCACAGCCCTATCACATGCTTCTCCAGATCTGCAGACGATCCATCAAAGATTTTTTATAGCGACCCCGGAGAGTACGTACGGATCTGGAAACCGATGTGTGAGATGGAATCTGCTTCCATTGCAGTGAATGAAAGTGACAGCATAGTCATCGAGAACCTGGTGGTAAACTTCATTCAAGAGCAGAAAGGCATACTAACAGGAACCTTCTTCTTACCAGTGGCATGGATCACTGAATGGGCCATTGAATGTAACCTGTCGAAGTGCTTTCTGTGCATACGGAAGAGAGGTTTGACTTCAACCCTGGACAATTCTGCTCTGGTGGACCCCAAAAAGTTTACATGGGTAGCCCACGGCATCACAAGAACAGAAGAAAAACGGAAGAAGCCTCCAAATGAAGGAAGTACAGTGCAGTTCGATGTCAATCACCTGCCGATGGAGACCATTCCTGATTGTGTCTTTCAGAGAAACACTTGTTTCACAGTGGAAATCATCCCAAAACTCCTGCCTGACATGTAGGTACAAGTGTAGTTCACTTTGGCCTTACTAGTGTCACATTGCTAAATTTGACTTTTCATTCTTTCTCTCTAATTTTTGCATTGGCATTGAGGTTGTATGTTGTTAGACGTTTCTTTTTCAGCTTCAGATCAAGCTGTTGACATGCACTTCTTTTCTTTTTGTAGCCGGAAAGAAAAGGCTGTGACGAGCATCCCATCTGCATGTGATCTGGTCCAGACTATAGCTCTTGGAAAACACATTCCCAGAGAGGGTATGCCCATTAGTCCAGTTGCACTGTCTACTGATGTCTACTGCATACGATCGAATACACATAACACACGTTGTACATTCCTACTGTGTAGTGTGTTTTAAGTTTAATTCAATTGCTTTTTGTTTTGCATGCAACAATACAATCTGTCATTTTGTCTTTGCAGTAGAACCAAGGTGGCACAGCGTCAGGAGAGAGTTACCAGAAGGACTGCCAGAGTTTAACATCAGTCAGCGTAATGCTGTGGCGAAAGCTCTAAATCACACCTTCACACTCATTCAGGGACCACCTGGTAAGAGCTGGAACGTACATTCACCCTGATGCTTCATATTTTCTGCAAAGGCTAACTCCATTTTTTCCCATTTGTCTCTTAGGAACTGGAAAGACAGTGGTAGGTGTTTACATAGTCATCTGTTTCTTTGAGCTGAACTCTATGAACCCGAGGAAATTGGATGACCCAAAGGATGACGACAAGAAGCAAGTCATTCTCTACTGCGGCCCGTCCAACAAGTCTGTTGATGTTGTTGCAGGCAAGTTACTTTGTTTCTCTGCTTAAATTTCAGCATAATTTCTTTCTGTTGCTATAACCCATGATTTACTGTTATAACACAGAGTACTTGTTGAAGTTTGTGGACAGACTACGGCCCCTCAGGGTCTACAGCCAACATGTGGAGATGCTTGATTACCCTTATCCAGACAGCGCTCTTCAGTTTTCCCGGAGGTCACTCCGCCAAGAACGTGGCAAACTGGAGCTCAAGTATAATAATCACACCAGTTGATGAAATTCAGTTTTTGAAGTAATGTCTTTAATTATTAACCAACACTGTCATATTTTACATGGTTTAAGGAGCATCACACTGCATCACCGCATGCGGCAGGATCAAAACCCTTTTTCGGATAAAATAAAAGATTTTGATCAACGCATTAAACTTGGCCTTGAGAAAAAAGGAGAAGAGCTGACTGCTGAAGAAGTGCAAGAGTAAGTTCAGATGCACTGCTGGTTTTACAAACTTTAAAGCTGCATGAAAATGTCACCTATTAGTGAGTAAAGTAGGGCATTCCTATATATACTCACTTTTACTAGTTTTTACAAAATCTTACCTTTGTGTTGGAATAAACCGTGTTTTCAGGTTTTACAAAAACAGAAGACTTCAAGGATAACTACTAACTAGTTGGTTTGGCGAATAAACATTTGGTTAGCTTCCCCACTTCCATTGCTCAGATCTGGCCAAAATCAGATTCCAGGATGAACTAGTCACGTCATGTGCGAACGCAGAATAACTAAGACGTCGCACATAGCGCGCTGTCGTACAGAAGTAAACATGGAGGCCAATTATTTATTTTTTATAAGGGCTTTTTGTGGAGCAATGGCTGCTTCTTCTTTACGGCGATGTGTGGGAATTCAGAGTCGAAGCCAGGATTGAAACCAATTTCATCCAAATTGTACAGAAGAGTAACCCCAAATACTAACAATACAATATAAATGCTGTCCCTCCACTGACTACTCCATCGCAGCTGTCTTCCATGTTTGTATTCACCAATGATCCCCCCCGCCATCACAGAACTGTGACTGATGTCGACCTAGAAGGACGTAAAAGTCGCATGAATTCCGATATGACTGTTCAATCGGGGGTTGCATTTCAAAAAGGACAACCACATGTGAAAGTGGCCCAAATCAGAATGGAAAAGATCAGATTCCATCTGTTTCACATATGTGCAAAAAGGAGCAGATTTGTGCCACTTTTGCCTGGCGTCTGCATGAAGACAATCCTTATGTCTTGTGTTTGTTTGTCATTTTAATTTTCTGCGTATGACTGTTATATGTTTACATACCAAAATCTTGTGAAAAAAGAAAAGGAACAAGTAATCGAGCAATTTTAAAACTTAATGTTCAGCACTAACTGGATTGTTTTTCTTCTTAGATACAAACGTCTTCTCAGAGACGCTAGGAAGTTTGAGCTTGAACAGCATGACGTCATACTGTGCACATGTACACAGTCATCCACCCCGATATTGACTAACACAGTCAGTCCACGCCAGATCCTCATTGATGAATGTGGAATGGCCACCGAACCCCAGGCCCTGATTCCATTAGTCTGCAACAAACCAGAAAAGGTGTGCTTTCCATTTCACCATCAGTATCCTGCTCGTGCTTTCCATTAACACTCTAACAATGCCACTAGCTAACGATGAATGTTGCTTTCTTTGTGTATTGATTTATGAAATACTGCCCGGAAACAAACACTGAACATACCTAGTGCTTTGATCCTGGTCGCCATCTGATGCAGGGTAAACTAGCGGTTCTCAACCTTATGTAACTTAAGGCCCACCTCTGATTGTTAAAAAAATATTCTGGCAGAAAACCTTTCAACTAGCTTACTATCTATTCTGCTTACAATCACTGCATGCCATTATGAATCTGAATTGAATGTATTTAGGGTCATATTTCCTCACAAACACTCTTTGAAGGGTTGTCTCCCACTCCCATCACTTTTTCATTTCCAAAAGCAATCCATTTTGTGTCACTACATCCAAGCTAGCTAACAGCAGCAAAACACGTATACGTCTCTACCTGATGATGTGTCGTGATTGGCGTGGTGATATTCAAATTTTTCACTTTCATATATATTTTGAAACTGAAAATATAAAATCTGAAAGTACAAAATATAAGACCTCAAATATCAAAATATGTATGAAAGTGAAAAATGAAAATAAATATTTTATTCAAAACAATTCCAGAACTGAATCAAAATTATATTCAACCCAAAAAAACTTTTCATTCACTTATTTTTATTTTGAATACATTGCTGTATTATTCAATGTTCAAGACCGCAACTTGAACTTTCAGGTTCAAATTTTTTTTCAAATGATCAAAACTATTGGCCTGGATTTGGCTCCATATGTCTCCAGGCTATTTTAACATAGGACTGTCTTCGAATTAAAGGGGTGTGTGGCCCTTCTTGCATCATCACACTACTTATTGACTCTAATGTTTTAAAATATCACTTTCAGGTTGTTTTGATCGGTGACCACAAACAGTTACGACCCATTGTGAAGCATGAGCGTGTGAGAAAACTAGGGATGGCCAAGTCTCTGTTTGAACGCTACTATACAATGCACAAAAGCAGGGCAGTGATGCTGGACACCCAGTACAGAATGGTGAGAACATTAAAGATCCACTATACTGTATATACATACAGTATATTGTATATACATGAATATATGTAATTACTGCAGCAATATTGTATTACCATATGTCTGAGTTAAATATTCTAAATTGTAATCAATAACTCAATTATGTGCCTTCATAGCATGAAAGCATATGCAAGTTCCCGTCAGAAGAATATTATGAAGGAAAACTGCAAACTGGTGTGGAGCAGCCGAGCAGCGTCCTGCGTGTTGATAACAAGACAATGCCAATCGTCTTTGGGGACATCATTGGTGAGACCGTCAGTCTGGTCGTCAGCACAGCCAAGGGCAACGAGAACTCTAAAGCAAACAAGGAAGAGAGAGACACAGTGGTACGATATTGGGCACCCTTGGTTGTTGATTTTAAACAGTGATATTAAAATGAAAGGGTAAGAGTTACTAAACTCGTTAAAGGTAGGGCTGGTAATGTTGAGAAACCACCAAAAGTACGCTACATTTGAAAAATGATCCAAACTAAAGAGCCGGCCCAGTGTTACCAACTCTTTTCAAATAAATTTAGTTAGCAGCATTAGATCCAAACTTTGCTGACAAAAAAAGTCGGCAACACTGATCCCATTGGGCTTCCTTCCAAAACCCCTCCCCCAGAATTGTCATTATGAACTTAAACAACTTACATGGCTATTGTTGGTACTCACAGCTGTAAAGCTAGCAGCTTGTGAAAGACTCCGGTGACATGCAATGAGTGTACAAACAGAGTACAAGAAGGTAGACAGGCTGGTAGGCCTTCCAATCATTACATTCAGGCTTAATGAAGTGATTGGATGGGGCTATTACAGTCCTGCGGCATCCACAGATAATCAGATTATTTTTTTTTGACATAGCATTTGATTTATTGATTGCTGTGGGGATGTAAAAAGAATTTCAACAAATATAAAAAAAGGGTTTTGAAGAAGATTCCCAACCCTATCTTTGACCTGTTAACCCTTTATTCATGCTGTGTTTCCATTGAAGTATATTTATGCACATTTTGAAGTATGGCATTAGAAAAGCTGTCTGTTTACTGGTGGATTGCAGCCATGTGTAGCCTACAGCGCCAACTTCTGACCAAACTATGCTGAAGCCGAGTTCATTCTATTCAAACCAGAATAGAATGATGGAAATGTTCTTAATTCGCATTACTTTTTTACAAAATTTCAAAACTTCGCTGACACTTCGCTTGACGATTGAATAGAAAACCGGCTAGTGACATGATTTATTTATGCTTTCAATCACTGGTTTTTGCTTTGGTTCTTTTGCAGGTAGACATTGCTAAAATGCTGGTGAAGACTGCCAAAATCGAACAACAAAGCATTGTGATTCTGACGCCCTATAATGCCCAAGTGTCAGAAATCAAAGATGCGCTGAAGGAGAAGGGAATGAATGAAATCACCGTGACCACAATCACTAAAAGCCAAGGTGACAGATGCTTTACTGAGAGTAAAGTAGCCACACGACAATGAAAACATATTCCAGTGTAAAACTGCTCATTCTGAAGAATTGCTTGTAACCAGTATGTTTGAGCTTGTCCCAGTGGTACCACTACTTCCTGGGCTGTTTAAAGCAGTGTGTCATAAAATATGACACACTGCTTTAACGAGTGTTAACGATGGCTCATCGTGTGACATGCAACATTTTGTCTTCTAGGAAGCGAATGGCGCTACGTCATCTTATCCACAGTGTGCTCTCTGCCAAGTAAAGACATTGACAAAGAACCAGACCCTGGTTGGTTGTCCAAACATCTGGGCTTTGTGGGCGATCCTAACCAGATCAACGTGGGCATCACCAGGGCCAAGGAGGGACTGTGCATCATCGGTAAGATACTTATTTCTACGCTTAAAGCTCAAAGCTCCTATGTAGCCTCATAACTCAGATGTCTCTGTCCTCTCAAAGGGAACCAAGAGTTGCTGAGCTGCAGCAGAACTTGGGCGAAGCTCCTGAGCCACTACAGGCTTCAAAATGCAGTGACAACTGCAGACAAGATTTCAGTGTGTTGTGCCACATAGCTGAACTCATCCATCCTTTAGAAGGGACTGGATTTCTGTAAGTAGCAGACCAGAAGAACAGAACAGCACGACTTCATTAAACATGTTTGTAGTTTAGGTTAAGTCTATAAAGTCGTTGTAACTTTTGATGTACTCTTTTTACAGTTTTACAGTATATTTGAGGTTTTTGATATTGTATTTGATGTGCTCTGATTTTCCTTGCTGAAATCTTACAACTTCTAGATCAACTGTACTGTGCTCATTTAAATTCTAAATGTCCAGGTTCAAAGACTGAATAGTCTGGGTTTTTTATGTTTGCATTTAAGAAAAGTTGTATAAGAAACGTTTGACCTATTGTGTTTTGATACATTAAGATCTCCAATGTTCAGGGATTAGCTTCGGCTACAGACATCTTAATAAAACATTGTCAATGAATATAACATGTATGATGTGTGATTGTTTGGATGAAGGCTGGTTTTTGGCCAGAACGTTGGTGAGTACAGGTAACGGGGATGGGTGGAGCCTAAAGCACACAATTCAGGGATTTATTGAGCAGATTAAGGTACAAACTTTTACGAAAACAAGAGACAGACGAGGGAGGGACAGAGAGGCACAATGGGGCATTCATGCATGTCCACTATTCAGAGTAAACATTTTCAGATAAATTGATGTCACTATTTCAGAATCTTCCTCTGGATATCAGGTCATCTGCTCGTTTCTGTGAGGCTCCCAAAATGTTTGACTGAGTGGACTGTACAAGGCCCACAAGTGAACATTTGCATACATGGTAACACACGGTAACAGCCATGTCTATAAGGCATTATAAATACCTTGAACTTATAAGTCATTATAAAATGCTTTATCATTTGTTTGTTTGAAGTCATTATGAATAGTAATGCTTATATATTATATAATAACTATAATTATGCAGTGCTATAAGCAGATTAAAAGTCATTATGTTTATTATGCATTATGGAAATGGGCCTCATAGAAAACATTACCACAAACACAAATGCATCTGCTTTCTTACCCTGCTTTCTACATGTGTTTTGGACTATATCATTGCTTTAGGGACACTGTCAAGTTGTATTATGGGAGGTGTAGGATCCAGTGTTTTGTAGCTTAACCATTATACAGGGAATAAAGGTGAAGATATCTCGGTCTGTGCAGCACTGATTTGGATCTTTTTTTTATCTGCTGCTCACAGTTTCCCCAACAACATGAAAGTGCAATTATAAATCACTGGATTACCACTTTAATTAATATGAATTTGAGTATAGCATTTTTTTGTGTTGTCTTTTTTTTCCTTTTAAATATGTCAAATGAATATGATGGTCTCTCCAGTCACTTCTTTCTGTGCTAAATAGTGTGCTGTGATTCCTGCTAAAGAGCACTAGCCCCCGTGACAGAATAAACAGCAAAGTCAGTAATTCATTAAAATACCAGTTGTTTCATGAGTATGGAGGTTGTGTGTATGATGGGAATAATGTATATTTCATCTGGACGATCTTCCATGTAAATCTATCTTCACACTTATGCAAAACACATCACAGCTTGACCCGCCCCTGTTGATGCACTGGACAGTCCAGTTTGGATCACCACAACGTGTGCATGTCTTTAATGAATCAGAGGCTTTAAGACAAGCTTATAAGGTTTAGGTCCTGTAAGATCAGATAAACACAATGAACACATCATATCATATATGAAACTTGGAGCTGTTATGTGCACTAACACTAAGTAAACTGAGCAATAGCTATTCACTCCATTACATTATATTTGTCAACACATATTTTCTTCTCACCATTGAAGCACTTTAATAAAAGACAGTAATTCGTGTTGAGTACTGTTGTGAGGTTTATTAAACTTAAACTGCCTGGTTTAAGTTTTTAGGAATGTTTAACTTTACTTTACAGTTAATTACTTTGATGGAATGCTTCAAATAGGTACATCATTTTTTTACATGTTCAATAATAAAAGTAATCTGTAACCTAATACATAGTGTGCGGTGTTTTTTCTTGTTAAAGGAAAGGCACAACGACAACTGCACCACACAAAAGCACCATCAGGAGGCAGGATCTATCCTCTCCATCAGCAAAACAGTTCCCAGAACATGGCCACACTATTTCTGGTCTGGCGCTTCCAATGCCTTAAGAAAGTGCATAGCATTACCAGAAGTGTGTCTATTTCTCTTGAAACGTTATGGCTACATCAACTAAACATACTACATACTGGGTATGTTATTTTGCTATCAATTTGGCGCGTTTGTGACGTGCCCTAAAATATCAAACATCTCTGCAGAGAACAGCCAAATCCCAATGTCCCCCCTAAAGCCTCAAACCCTGAACCCTCAAGGACCTACTGATGTCACCTGGTAAGTGGTTGAGTGTGAGAGACTGTGAGGGCTTGAAATGGTGTTAATATAAATGGGACAGCACTTTGCTGCAACATATCACGTTACCATAAAAACGAAAACAATTTGATGTATAATTGTAGGTATTTATTTTATACTTTGTACTCCCTGATTTGAAAGTCTTCCAGGCTCTTTCCTCACAAAAAGAGAGGTACCTTTATATAATCTATTTACTTGTTTTTGTCAAAACATCTTTGATGACAAAATCAAATATTTGATGAATAAATAAATAAATATCCTCTGATTTCAAGTTTATTTTTTATTCCATCTTTAACCCTTAATGTTTCTGAGTAAATTTAATAAGACAGGCTGAACACAGTGAGCCGTCCTCTTTGTTTACCTTTTTTTTTACGTCTCCATGCGTCCACTGGTTACCCCGTGTTTAAAGTCACATTGCAATGATTTGTGGGTAATTCCCTTAGGCTAAGGCCAAATCCCAATGTCCCCCCTAAACCCTAAGCCCTGAACCCTCAAGGACTTAATTGACGTCACCTGGTGAGTGGTTGAGTGTGAGAGACTGTGAGGGCTTGAGATGGTGGAAATAGGAATGGGACAGCACTTTATCACGTTACCATGAAAACGACAAAAAATATGATGTATAATTGTGTGTATTTATTTTATACTTTGTACTCCCTGATTTGAACGTCTTCAGGCTCTTTCCTCACTAGATGAGAGTTAACTTCATATCATCTATTTACTCGTTTTTGTCAAAACAGCTTCAATGACAAAATCTAATATTTGATGAATAAATAAATAAATATCTTCTGATTTCATGTTTATTTTTTATTCCATCTTTAATCCTTAATGTTTCTGAGTATATTTATTATGACAGGCTGAACACACTGATCCGTCCTCTTTGTTTACCTTTTTTTTTAGGTCTCCATGCTTCCACTGGTTACCCCGTGTTTAACTTCACATTGCAATGATTTGTGGGTAATTCCCTTAGGCTAAGTCAGCATACCATGCTGACTTATGGAAAGGGTTCACAAAGGGCTCAAAATGTCTGCGAGAAAGCCTCAAACACGTGATGATTTTACAGTGGGACATCCCTAAACCCTCACAGACTTCGCGGGAGCGCGCCTCAAAGTCCGTGAGTCCGTAAGGGGGGATATTGGGATTGGGCCTTCCATTTAAAATAAGATTCTTATGTACACGGAAACAGCAACGGCCACGCGGAAGTGCTTGAGTACAGGAGGCTTCAAGATGGATATCTATAAAAATTATAAAGATGTATACTGTGCTCAAAAAAACACCTTATGTGACTTTAAGGGCCCCGTAAAACAAACGCACGAGATCAATAAAATCATACAATGATTGCTCATATTAACACACTTTGAAAGCAACGAAGTTTTATTTTGAAGGTCTTGACCGGAAACTTATGACCGGAAACTTTATGTTGTTGCGATCCTGACTCGTCGTTCCCTCGGCTGACACTCCTCCATTCCACTGCTGAACAAGTTCTCTGTTCTGTTGTCTCAGTTCAAATAAAGGAGTGAACATTGCCGTTGTTAACATGTGGACATTTTTGTATACGTTTGAATCGTGAGGACGTATGGAGACGGTTCGAGGTGACAACTGGCGGAGACGCACGAGGAGCGCGCGAGCCTACCTCAAACAATCAACCGGGGCAGCGGCTGACGAGTCCAATGTGCTCCGGAGTCTGAGCGTTGGCAACACGGAAGACGGCCATGACATAGAGGAGGACATTGGCCTCTTCAAGCAAGACAATTTGGAGCGCCGGGTCATGGCGCCCCGCTACAGTCTGCTGCGGGAGGTGGGAAGGGGCACTTACGGCGTGGTGTACGAAGCGGTGGCCCGGAAGTCCGGGGCGAAAGTTGCCGTGAAGAAACTGCGATGCGACGCTCCGGAAAACGTGGAGCTCGCCTTGCAGGAGTTCTGGGCTCTGGCGAGTCTGGAGAAACGGCATCAAAATGTGGTGCAGCTGGAGGAGTGCGTGCTGCAGAGGAACGGTATGGCTCAAAAAATGAGTCATGGGAACAAGCGGTCCAAACAGTACCTGCGTCTGGTGGAGACTTCACTGAAAGGTGAGGCTCTTTGGCTCCCCGAAGTTAGCTGCGTGAGCTGAGTTGTTTTGTATCAATGCCAAATTAAATGGCAACACATACTACTTCAGAAACTAATGTACTGTTGTAGCAACGAGTTGAGTGGTTATCAGATAAACCCAACGTAATGCTATTTGAGTGTGGTTTGGACGACTTATACGTTATTGTTTTTGTCGCCATGACACAGACTCGCTGGGGGATGGGTAGATTTAGTGAAGGTAGCTCCCTAGTGTGAGACTCACTAAAATGGAGTCTGCTGAGTTGGTTGTATTCAGAGGTGTTTTAACCATGTGACCTTTCATTTTGAAAGCTTTGTGTTAGTTCCCTTGTGCTTATCTAGTGCAGGTCTTGTGCTTGAAATACATGCACCTTATAAAGCTTTCTATATAAATCACATTATGGTTACCTTGTTAAAGACTGAATGATTTATCTCAACTGTCACTGGCACTGGATCCGTTCACATGTATTTGAAGTATGCATCTCAATCACTGGCCAGCATAGTGGTTTCAGCATCATAAGTAAGACAGCCTATGAATAATGGCTACACCTCAGTGTTTTGGCTTACAGTGGGTCACTGAGGAGGAAATGTTAACTCTAACAGATCTGATCTAAAACCTGTGGTAGAGATGCTGTGAAATGACCACGTTGTGACTGTCAGTGAGTTGAGATTACGATACATGCTACCCACTAGGGGTGGGAATCACCAGAGGTCCCGCGATACGATATTATCACGATACTTGGGTCACGATACGATATTATCACGATACTGCGATATTCTGAGTATTGCGATAACATAGGCCTATATTGCGATTTATTACTTTTTTCAACTTCAAATTATGTCCCCAAAGGAAAACTGTATCAACATGTTTTATCTAATAAGATAAAGTTTTCAGTCTGTTCATCTCACTTCAATCATTTTTATTGCAGTAAAAATGATTAATATATGTCAAGCAGACAGACTGACCAACAATGTCATAAATGTTGCATGAACCTGACAAACTGAACTGTTTGTATTACTACATAGTCCAACTTAACTAAATGCAAACGTGTGGACTCAGTATATGAACTATAACTTATATAAGTAGGATATAAGAGTTATATAACTAAGTTTAACTTGCGATGCGTGGACGTCAAGGGCAGAGAGACAGTTATGTGCTGCACTCTCCCCATGAGCCTGGCTACTGTTGGCAGATTTAACCCCGTTGTGAGGCCAGATGTCTATCTTTGTTTTGACCAACTTCCTACCAATCACGCTGACCCGGGACCTTTCCTGACCTCACCAGAAAACAACTTGGCACCATCTAGTGGACTGAAAAAGCAATTGATTTGATTTTTCTAAAAAATAAAAATAAAAAAAAAAATCGTTTTTTTAAAAAAAATAGTTTATATAATAAAATAATACATTTTATTTATATAGCGTTTTAAAAGGCACTCAAAGACACTTTACATGTTAAAAACAAACAATAGAAGCATTTATAATAAGAACAAAATCTACGACATAACAGTAAGAAAAAAAATAAATAAACATGAAAAGAAAAAGAAAACATACATGACTGACTTTAGAGGTTAAAAGCAGATTTGAATAGGTAAGTTTTAAGTGCAGTTTTGAAAGTGGCGAGTGACGAAGAATGTCTGAGGTGTTAGGGCAGGGAGTTCCAGAGGGAGGGGGCAGCAACGGAGAAGGCCCTGTCCCCCCAGGTCCGATGCTTGGACAGAGTAGGGGGTAAGGAGGTTGGCGTCGGCAGATCTGAGGTTGCGGTTGGGAGTGTGATGGTACAGGAGGTCCGAAAGGTATGAAGGGGCAAGGTTGTGGAGGGCTTTGTAAGTGATGAGGAGGATCTTGAACTGGATTCTTTGCTGTATGGGGAGCCAGTGGAGGTTTTGACGGACTGGGGTGATGTGGTCTCTGGTGCGGGAGTGGGAGAGCAGACAAGCAGCTGAGTTCTGGATGTATTGTAGTTTATTGATGATTTTGGTGGGTGAGCCGTACAGGATGCTGTTGCAGTAGTCCAGTCGAGAGGTGATGAAGGCGTGGATGAGTGTTCCAGCGGCTGCGGAGGAGAGGGAGGGATGGAGACGGGCGATGTTTTTCAGATGAAAGAAGGCGGTTTTTGTGATGTGATTGACGTGGCGTTCATATCAGAGAGTTTGATCGAAAATGATCCCGAGGTTACGGACATGTGTTGAGGCAGGAACAGTGATGCCATCGATGCAGAGGGAGAAGTTGTGGTGGGAATTGTTTAATGATTTGGGGCCGATGATGAGGACTTCAGATTTGTCGGTGTTGAGTTTGAGGAAGTTTGCTTGCATCCAGGTTTTTATATCTGTGAGGCAGTTGGTGGAGTGGATGGTGGGGGTGATGGATTTGGTGGAGATGTAGAGCTGGGTGTCATCAGCATATCAGTGGTACTGGAGACCATGGTGGCGTATGATGTCACCAAGGGGGATCAGGTAGAGGATGAAGAGGAGGGGACCAAGTACTGAACCTTGGGGGACACCTTGAGAGACTGGGGCTGTGTCAGACTTGAATTTGTTGATGCTGATGAACTGTTCACGGTCGGAGAGGTATGATTTAAACCAGGAGAGGGCTGTGCCAGTGATGTGTTTAGGGAGGACTCGAGACGTGAAAGGAGAATGGAGTGGTTGATGGTGTCGAAGGCTGCGCTGAGGTCGAGCAGTATCAGGATGTTGAGGGAGTGTTCATCAGAGGAGAGGAGGAGGTCATTGGTGACTTTGATGAGGGCAGTTTCTGTGCTGTGATGAGATCTGAATCCTGATTGAAATGGTTCATACAGTTGGTTTGAGTCCGGGCGAGTTTTCAGTTGATGGGCAACAGTGCGTTCCAGTATTTTAGACAGAAAAGGGAGATTGGAGATGGGTCTGTAATTGTTGTGAATGTCGGGGTCAAAGCCAGGTGTGACTGAGGCGAGTTTGAGGGCGGGAGGGACGGAGCCAGTAGACAGGGAGGAGTTGATGACAGAGAGGAGGTGCGGGTGGAGGGCCGGGAGACAGGCCATAACTAAAGTGGAAGGGATAGGGTCGAGGTCACAGGTCGGAGTAAAAAAAGAAAAGATCGATACTTGGCGTCCGTGTATCGATACAATATCGCCACGCAAAATATCGCGATACTATGCTGTATCGATTTTTTCCCCCCACCCCTACTACCCACGCCTAACCGTTTTAGACACGGCCCCTGATAAAGACAGGCAGGACACATCCAAAGGGAGTGGACATTTGAGTGGAAATGCCTGTGGTCCGATAGTTAGAGTGCACATTCACTGGCTGTAGGGAAATTGCAATCCGGGGCTCAACACTTTTAAATATGGTTGCCATTGTTAGTCACAGTCAATGTATGTGCCAGCTCTTGCAGCCTCCACCTCATTGTGTTGAGCTTTGCAACTTTGCTGTCATTATTTTATTTATGTCAAAAAGTGGTTGCCGCTGATGGCAACCGAAGGCCAAGAATTGGTTGCTGTGTTTGTATCCTTGCATCCAGTCGTGCAGAGAATGAAAAGTGGCTGATGATGTGGCACTGTGTTTCAGAGGCATATACCGATCCCTGGAGTGGTATGTCGCTCCTGTTCCAGGGGTACTGGTGTACCTGGCTGACAGTGGACTTCCACTTTCAAGCGGCACATGCCGTTATGAAACGGTATTTGCCATTGGAACAGGATACCACTCCAGGGATCGGTATATGCCTCTGAATCACAGTGGCACACCATCGGCCACTTTTCCATCTCGGCGACACTCCTTAAATCACTGTGTGAATGACTTCTGTTGCAGGTGAGCGAGTGCTTGGTCCCCCAGAGGAGCCCTGTTACCTCTGGTTCATCATGGAGTTCTGCGAGGGCGGCGACCTCAACCAGTTCATTCTGTCTCGGCGGCCCGACCAGCGAACCAACAACAGCTTCATGCTCCAGCTGACCAGCGCCGTTGCTTTCCTTCACAAAAACAACGTTGTCCACAGAGACCTGAAACCCGACAACATCCTCATCTCGGAGAAGTCGGGCATGCCGGTTATCAAGGTGGCTGACTTTGGCCTGAGTAAAGTCTGCGCTGGGATAGGAAACCCCAAAGAGGGCGAAGACAAGAGCAAGAATGTGAACGTGAACAAGTTTTGGTTGTCGTCGGCGTGCGGCTCAGACTTCTACATGGCTCCCGAGGTGTGGGAGGGCCACTACACGGCCAAGGCTGACATATTTGCCCTGGGCATCATCATCTGGGCCATGTTGGAGAGAATCACTTTCATTGATGCCGAGTCTAAGCGGGAGCTGTTGGGTTCTTACGTGAGACAAGGAGTGGACATTGTGCCGGTGGGCGAGGCACTGCTAGATAATCCAAAGATGGTGCTGAACATCCCACAGAAGCGCAGGTCATGCATGTCGGAGGGAGTGAAGAAGCTGCTGCAGGACATGCTCGCCGTCAACCCTCAGAACCGGCCCGACGCCTTTGAGCTGCAGGCCAGAATGGACCAGGTCATGTGTGCTGCATAACCCGCTGCCAGAGGGCTTCACAGGTACCTGTGCTTTTATCTTCATACAATTTCCCCCACAGCTTCTTTGAACTCTTTCATGTTCTGCTATCTGCCCCTATTTAAAATACTGTAGTAGAGGATCGACCGAGAGTGGACTTTAAAGGACTGATATAATAATTCTAGTTTGGAGCAGAAAAATGCAGAGAGCTGATTAATTGGCCATCAAACTCTGAGTAAAAAGACTAAATAAATACATGCATCAGGAAACTGGGAGCAACTTTAATCATTTGTAAGAGAAAACCCTGAAGTGTGATGGTTAGATTATGATTACATTGTTGAAATGTTCAGTTTATTAGGGCTGCAACTAACTATCATTAACATGTGCACAGAGTAGACCTCATGTGTGTGGAGTCTCCATGTAAAAACAGAGATAACAGTCATTGGCCATCGGAGCTGAGGTTCCTCGGATAACAGGGTTTTGTGAAACGTCCTGTCGGCGCAGAGAGAGTAAAAAGTAATGTATATTTATCATGTTTGAAGTTCTGTAAGAGTTGAATCGTTCTTCTGAGATAGTTGCCACCACAGCTTGATTGTAGCCAGCATTGTGGAAAGGTCAATGTAATTTAGTGTTTCCTCAAAGGTAAGATGGTGGACTTGCCCTCCTGAGTGCATTCATCTCAGCGGCATGTTTGGTCTGTCATCTCCCTCTGTTGATAGTGGTGTGATCCGCTGACTCAACACTGGTCATTTCCTGCCCTGAACAGGCGTCTGTTTCATTTTATGTCACTGACATTTAAGCATGGTTTCAGGGTCCGTGTGACGCAAATATCGTCATCTCAAACATGTAATGCAGTTTGTATCAAACGTCTGGAACAGACTGCAGTTGATCTGTTTCCGTACGGCTCCTTCTAATGTTCCCACTGTTCAGATTTCACAAAGAAACATCTTCTACATTGTGACATGTGAGTGTGCCTTTGGTATTGGTTGAAGTTAAGTGTTATGTAGCTGCTGAGGTGTTTTTTTTAGTTGTCAGGACTTAATAATGGCTAATGTAACCGTGAGGCGTTTGAATGCTCCACATGTCCTCGGGTCTGTCGGGCCTGTACTTGGATGACTGTCGGTCACAGAGGCGTGTTCTATGTAGTTTATTTCTGTGTGTAAGAGGTAAAGATGGAGGGTGGGGTTGCATTTAGTGTCATGTTTGGTAACTTCAGTGACTGCCTTAGTGTTTGTGCTCTCGTTCTGTGTTATTCAACCAAAGCAGCCCCCTCACACCCAACTTCCCCCACCCCCCCAGGCACACTCCCACGTCACAATGTAGAAGATGTTTCTTTGTGAAATCTGAAC